TCATCACAATGTATTACAGCTCAGACTGGCACTGAGCAGAACAACTTTATACATTTCTGTTATTGATTCAGCAATATTTATTATACTTAGGATACTGAACCAGGGTGTTATATGTCTCATGACAAACAAAGCTTTCTTTTGATGATATGTGTTTCCAAAATATTTACCAGACCGGAGGAAAAGAAATGTTTGTGTTTAAAAACAATTGTGACAGCAAATAAAATGTGAACCTTTAACTTGTTCTCTTTCTAATGACATTTCGTGGCTCATTCCTTCTGGCTTTCGTGGCCGTTACACTATATTGATGTTTTGCTGTTTGTGTTTTCACAGCTGATCCGTCCAATGAACGCCCTCGACGAGCTGTGCAGGCTCTTGAAATCCTTAATCACCCCAAAACAGCCCCAGTCCGAGTACTGTAAGAATAACATGCTGGGGACCGGCTTGTTACCCATCTCGTCTGAGCTCTGTTACCGTCTGGGAGCGTGCCAGATGGTCATGTGCGGCACCGGGATGCAAAGGTGAGCGCCCCCGATAATCACCCGGGTGTTTTCAGCACTGGGTCTCCATACTTTCTCCCAGCATGCTGTTCTGTCTTATTCGTACAGGAGAAGAGGTCTGGACGCTGTCTGCTTATATTACAGTGACATCTACAGGCTGCGAGACCACGCTGCACCCGGTATAGGGTCCAAACAAAAGCCTGAGCTATTACCAATGATCCAGAAGAAGGCAAAATATAAAACCCATTGAGGCAATATCCAGTTATAGGGAATATCCTGTTATAGGGAACCCATTGAGGGAATATCCAATTATAGGGAACCCATTGAGGGAATATCTAGTTATAGGGAACCCATTGAGGGAATATCTAGTTATAGGGAACCGATTGAGGGAATATACAGTTACAGGGAACCCATTAAGGGAATATCCAGTTATAGGGAACCCATTGAGGGAATATCCCGTTATAAGGAACCCATTGAGAGAATATCCAGGTTATAGGGAACCCATTGAGGGAATATCCTGTTAGAGGGAACCCATTGAGGGAATATCCCGTTATTGGGAACCCATTGAGGGAATATCCAGTTTAAGGGAACACATTGAGGGAATATCCCGTTATAGGGAACCGATTGAGGGAATATACAGTTACAGGGAACCCATTAAGGGAATATCCAGGTTATAGGGAACCCATTGAGGGAATATCCTATTAGAGGGAACCCATTGAGGGAATATCCCGTTATTGGGAACCCATTGAGGGAATATCCAGTTTAAGGGAACCCATTGAGGGAATATCCAGTTATAGGGAACCGATTGAGGGAATATCCAGTTATAGGGAACCCATTGAGGGAATATCCAGTTATAGGGAACCCATTGAGGGAATATCCAGTTTAAGGGAACACATTGAGGGAATATCCCGTTATAGGGAACCGATTGAGGGAATATACAGTTACAGGGAACCCATTAAGGGAATATCCAGGTTATAGGGAACCCATTGAGGGAATATCCAGGTTATAGGGAACCCATTGAGGGAATATCCAGGTTATAGGGAACCCATTGAGGGAATATCCTGTTAGAAGGAACCCATTGAGGGAATATCCAGTTATAGGGGACCCATTGAGGGAATATTCAGTTTAAGGGAACCCATTGAGGGAATATCCAGTTATAGGGGACCCATTGAGGGAATATTCAGTTTAAGGGAACCCATTGAGGGAATATCCAGTTGTAGGGAACCCATTGAAGGAATATCCCGTTATAAGGAACCCATTGAGGCAATATCCCGTTATAGGGAACCCATTGAGGGAATATCCAGGTTATAGGGAACCCATTGAGGGAATATCCTGTTAGAAGGAACCCATTGAGGGAATATCCTGTTAGAAGGAACCCATTGAGGGAATATCCTGTTAGAAGGAACCCATTGAGGGAATATCCTGTTAGAAGGAACCCATTGAGGGAATATCCAGTTTAAGGGAACCCATTGAGGGAATATCCAGTTGTAGGGAACCCATTGAAGGAATATCCCGTTATAAGGAACCCATTGAGGCAATATCCCGTTATAGGGAACCCATTGAGGGAATATCCAGTTTTAGGGAACCCATTGAGGGAATATCCCGTTATAAGGAACCCATTGAGGGAATATCCAGTTTTAGGGAACCCATTGAGGCAATATCCAATTTTAGGGAACCCATTGAGGCAATATCCCGTTATAGGGAAACGATTGAGGGAATATACAGTTACAGGGAACCCATTGAGGGAATATCCCACAACTAGCAGTTGGATTAATTCCCATTGGATATAGGTGGTGATTTCAGGTATTTACAGAAGGCAGCTGATGAAGTCTTAGCTGATCCCCGTTACAGTAAAGAGCCGCCCTCTGTCCTGGTGACACAATAGCTTCTCTTCTAGTCTACGTCTGACATATATGACAAATCCAAAAACAATACCAGATAATGTGCTGCTGCCACTTCCTGCCGGGTATCCACTTCATGGCACGCACACTCCAGATCCATGGCCTTGCCTGACCCAATATACAATGTAAAGAAGAAAGGATCACCTAGTCACATGCCAAACATCAGGAGGCTTGATATAATCAGATAGCTCACATAAGGGGTTATCACATGCTGCTCTTAGTGCTTAATTTTAAGACTAGGAGGATTCAAACCAGCAGCATGACCAATCAGAGCGTCTCTCGTGACCATTGGGATATGTGAAGAGTCGTGGCACATGATAGGAAGTCATTGCTCCCAACAACTGATCCTTATGGAGATGGTGGAGCTTTTACCTCTACTGCTGTTAGTTTTGCACTCACAGGGGGTCTCTATGAAGTGACAGTCGGGTGTAATAGGAGAGAGTCTCTTTTAATGTCTCTGGTTTTGTGTTGAGTGGAGACGATTGTTGATGTATTTCTGTTCTGCTCAGGAGCACATTAAGCATATCGCTGGAGCAAGCCGCCATCTTGGCCCGCAGTCACGGACTCCAGCCCAAGTGCATCATGCAAGCAATGGACATCATGAGGAAACAAGTGAGTGCCACAACTTCTTGCTGATGAAGTTATAATTTGATTGAATGACATGGCTGTGCTGATGGTACTAGTTCTGGGAGGTCACGGGGGAGCATAAGAGGCAGATCAGTACAGCCAAAGGGAATGGCCGCTCTACCTTCCAATAATCCACCTTTAAAAGTTGTGAAGGATTCATGTTTTTATGCTGTCACTCACTGTATCCGAGACCCCCCCCCCCTCTAAGTGGTTTATTCTTCCTGCATGTCAGTGGGTGGGCAGCTCTAGCACAGCCATGCCTTAACAGTCCTGACATTCTCCCTCGCACACAATCAATCAATAATCACATTTATGACTTTAGAAGCTTTCAGGTCGAGGGAGGAGTTGGGTAATTCAAGACTGCAGCTGCAGGTCCCTGTTGTATATTCCATCGTCAGACATTTGTATTTCTTACCACCAATGACTACAAAGTGTTGATTTAACGGCGAGCGCACCTCGGGCTCCTGAGACTCGGGGACGGCCTTTGTACAGACTCCACGCGGTCACATGAACCAATCTGTGTTTTGTTTTTGTAGGGTCCGCGTGTGGAAATCACGGCAAAGAATCTAAAAGTCAGGGATCACCCGCTGCAGTCTCCGCCAAGGTGAGTCCATGAAGATGAAGGCACCATTCACACAACATTTCCAGAGAAGACTTGATTGGGCTTCTCTAAGCAAAAAAGATTGGTTCCAAACCGGACAAATATACGTCTTTGTAGACCCAGTGACATCATCACTGGGTCTCTCTCTCCGTCTTTACTTTCACCGTGATAGTGTTTGGTGGGAGAGGTCAGAAGATTGCAGCTCTGAGCATGAGCATTATGTGAAAGAACACCTCCCCGGCATCCATTGCCCCCCTGCTGGCCACTGGGTTCTGCAGACTGTAGCTGTGCAAGCTGCTTATCAGTTCCTTGATTCCACTTTATCAGATAGGGGGTTATCAAGCTATTGATCAGCAGATTGCTCAACTAAAGCCTGCACCACCCAGTGATCAGCAGGGATGAACAGTAAAAGGCATGCTGGGCATGTGTTCTATTATTTAACGTTAGGGACAGCAGTACAGTTACTCGGGCCAAATAGATTGATGGCAGAGTAAGCTAATAGTTGTAAGAGGCAGGCCAGGGACAGTACAGATCTGAAGGAGGGGGCTTGCTGACGCTTGAATCGGTCCAGGCCAGTAATGAGGTGGGCTCAAGATACCATCTGCAGCTTCTAATGCTTGTGTTGTGGAGATGACAGTGTGCAGGGGAAGGGGGGCTCAGCACTTCCAATACAGGAGAAGATTGTCTACAAGTCTGCAAGAAGATGGTTGAAGTCAGCTTAATTATAAGAAGCCAGGCGAAGTTATGACAGATGATAGACAGTGATGCAGGACCGTCTTTAACGCAGGGCAAAAGGGGCAGTTACCCCGGGCCCAGTCATTGCTGTGGGGCCCAAAGCAGCTGCCCCTTGAGCCAGCGAAAGATACACATGGGTAACGTCCTGTTTAATATGCAATCCGCATCGCATACTGTTGTTCTGCCCCTGCCGTACGCTGTGTGACCTTGTGATGCCTCATGCGGGGTCACCTCTTACTTGGGGTCACGTCTCCCTTTGAGCTGTCTTCTCCTATCTGCTCCTGTCGCATGGTATGGGCCAGGGCGTGGTGGGTAGGGGCGGGGGAAAGCCCAAAAAAATGTGTGCCCAGGGTCCAATCGATATTAAAGACGTCCCTGCAGTGATGGCTTCACGGCCACATAAAATGTACATTATAAAGTGCGCTATGTGATCCATCGGCCTTTACAGACCTCTGCCCCGTCCCGGGATTCTGTTTCTTGGGAACACTTTGTAAGGCCCTGGCAAGTAGGGGTTGAATCTCAGCTGCGGATGGTAGCAATAGTAAATGTCTCTGGGTATGAAGGTACGGTGATCAGGGTCGAACTCCTGGCGTCACTCTTAATCTTTATAGCGGAGAGTTAGTAGTTCTACCCTTCATGCACCGAAAAGGTCCTTTTCTTAAGGCTAAGCCACTAAGGTATTACTTCATACCACTAGTGCGATAATTACATGAGAGCAAGGAATCGGTAGTGTCACCAACAAGTCTTCCCCTTTAAGGCCTGAGTAGGAGGGGCACCGACCAGCAATTCTTATGTCTATATTACGCTACGGGAGTCAATGCATTAAACAGGGGTTGCTTCCCACAAGTACCCAGCAATCAGTCCACAGAGTGCACAGGCAATACAGTTATCAAGGTAGCATGAGTAGGCTCTTATATAGTCAATGTCCTGGCATGCATACAACAGAGTACTTGCGGTTGATGGTATCAGTAGCAGATCCAATTAGGTTGTGGTTCTCCCACTCTGTCTCACAGTCAGCGGTTCAGGGATGCAGCAGAGTCAGCAGGGCGCTCACTCCACCTTAGTGGAACGCCGAGCTGACATCTTGCCGGCGTCTTTAAGGAGGAAGTGAGGGGAGGAGCCCCGTGACGCTACCCGGCCGATGCGCTCCACCCTGGACCATTTTTTGAAGCCAACCTGTCCTATGTAGCCCTGGACCTGTGCTGTGTACACGAAACATGCTCACAATGGTCTCTTTCCATAGGATCTTCAGGCTATGTGTGCCACCAGTAGACGGAGACCTGTGATGGGAGACGGTCCCCAGATGGGTAGATGAAGGAGCAGCATTGGAGGCCTTCTGATGGGTGTGATATCCTCCGGATTGATGAAGCACAAGAACTGCATTGGTTTATGGGTTTCGTGTCCACTCTGTGCCTGCCGTGGGTGCTCCTATTGTGCCAAGGTCCCGTGGTGTGGACGGAGCCCTATATATATACTGGATCCTGGAGGAGAGAACGCAGAGTGCCGAGCCTCATCAGAGACTTGGATTGGACTCTTTGTTGCCTCCGATATTCCGGCACTTTCTCAGCGGCGGCACAAAAACGTTTTCCTTCTTCAAGATAAGTATTTATTACGAGTCTGTATTCTGACTTCTACCCCTCGGAGCGGAGTACCGGCTTCCCCCGCCAACGGCAGTGGTCCAATTTCACGCTCCGGGAAATCCTACGTTAACTTTTACTTCATTTTTTTTTTAGCTTTTATTTGAAATTTTAATGTTGTTTTATAAGTGGAAATCTACTTTTATAATTAAAGAAGCTACAAGTCCATCGTCTTATTCCTGCCGTACGCATTGTGGAGTATTAAAGGACCCTGCCCGGCAGATGCCCTCCTACCCAGAATCCTCTCTGATCTAACCACAAGGATTTCATGTTCTGTTTTTGTTTTGTAATGTATAACCTGGGACCAAGCTTCTATAAATTATACTGATGTTCATAGTTCACGAGAGGAACTCTCAGCTAATATTTGTATTTAAACCGGTTTTTGGATGCGGCCGTAGTTGGGGAGGGTCCGTGTATATATGGGGGACGTTTTGTATTTGTGGTAACTTGCGCCAGTATCAGTATTATACGTTTACAGGTTGTAGGAGCGGAGGAGGGGGGGGGATTACTGAACACCCGAGGTGTTTTGTACATGTGATGAAAAAATCCCTGGGGTCTCTTCTTCAGAATGTTTTCATGGGTATTTCTACAGATTTGCTGGAAGATAATGGGGCACATTACCTGCTAAGGAGAGCCGCCTTGTGTTGCAGCCCGATCTAGGATCGTCCAATCGTCTGTTTTCTTGTGTAGTATATGTGTATATTCTCAAGCAACGCTTCTCGTAGAGCGTCGTGGCTCTCAATGTAGAAAAGCATGGACACCGGCACTCCCAAGGATAGAAGTACGTCTCTTTATTGACGCAGGTGCAAGACATGCTCATTGAATAGACGTACTTCTATCCTTAGAGTGCCGGTGTCCATGCTTTTCTATATTATTGGACGGTAGCCATCTGTCGACTGCCAATGCACCCACCTTTCTTACTATGGATGAGCGGTCAGGAGTGCAATGGGTACATGGACTGTAATGGCGCTCAATGTATCTGATCTCAATGCTGGGTCTGGGGGGAAGGGAGCGGGTTAGGGGGGGGGGGTCATACCCCGGCCTATATACTACTCAAGAAAACAGAGGATATTGGACGGAAGTGATCAGACTGGAATTCCTATAATGACGGGTCTTGTTTAGACTATCAGCAGATAGAAACCTGAATATACCTCCTCATCTGTCCTGGCCTATAGAACCATCATATGTATCATTACTGGTGACCAGAGAACCCGTCTCATCCTGCACGTTGGTCTATGTGGTCTATGTGACCCACCTCTAAGCCTAAACTTAAAGAATACCCCTCCACCCACTGCTTCCTTATAGCAATGATGGATAATGATGACCAAGCTGTCTGCTCTTCCTCGACATTCATACAGGGTATCCTTTCATATTATATCATTGGTTTGTGGCCTTATGTATCAGACGCATCTATCAAACCTTCCCCTGCCATTGTACAGAGCGAAGTGATAAATCAGACCTTCCCCCTGGGTGTCACATGGCTTACCTTGCTTTCCGCTTTTGTAGTCTCCGATTATAATAATCTCTCATCCAACTTCTGGAATGGCCTTAAAATGTTTATATTTATCTCATGAATCGTCACCCCCTTAGGCTGGGTACTTGCAGATGGCCAAGCCATGGCACAGTCATCTCTCGGCTTAGCAGCCTGCAATTTGTATCTGTTGGTGGGGCATGTAACAATGGTTGACCATTGATTGGCTTGTTCTCCTCTGAGATGTCACTTGCAGCATGTTGCTCGTTCGTCAGCTGCGTGCGCACACGCGCGTGCTGGTTTCCGACTGTTGCCATGCATAAAGATGGATAACGTAGAGAAGGACATTATGTGTCGGTCGGTCAGTGTCTACAAGGCCATCGGTGAGTGCCCAGCCCTACTGAAAAGAAAACAGCAATAAAATGGTAAAAGTGACCTTATTACATGAAATGGTTTGCCTGCCGGTCTCCATGCCCCATAGACATGCCGGTCTCCATGTCCCATAGACATGCCGGTCTCCATGCCCCATAGACATGCCGGTCTCCATGTCCCATAGACATGCCGGTCTCCATGTCCCATAGACATGCCGGTCTCCATATCCCATAGACATGCCGGTCTCCATATCCCATAGACATGCCGGTCTCCATGTCCCATAGACATGCCGGTCTCCATGTCCCATAGACATGCCGGTCTCCATATCCCGCAGACATGCCGGTCTCCATATCCCGCAGACATGCCGGTCTCCATGTCCCGCAGACATGCCGGTCTCCATGTCCCGCAGACATGCCGGTCTCCATGTCCCATAGACATGCCGGTCTCTATATCCCATAGACATGCCGGTCTCTATATCCCATAGTCATGCCAGTCTCCATAGACATGCCGGTCTCCATGTCCCATAGACATACCGGTCTCCATGTCCCATAGACATGCCGGTCTCTATATCCCATAGACATGCCGGTCTCTATATCCCATAGTCATGCCAGTCTCCATAGACATGCAGTTCTCCATGTCCCGCAGACATGCCGGTCTCCATGTCCCGCAGACATGCCGGTCTCCATGTCCCATAGACATGCCGGTCTCTATATCCCATAGTCATGCCAGTCTCCATAGACATGCAGGTCTCCATATCCCACAGATATGCCGGTCTCCATATACCACAGACATGCCGGTCTCTATATCCCATAGACATGATGGTCTCCATATCCCATAGACAAAGAAATATCCCAGAGATATAGTTTAAAGAAAAAGACTCCAGTTTTGTGATAAACAATCAATTTTTTTAATCTTAAATAAAATAATAAAAAACTACCTTTGACTTTTGATCTGCAGTCATGATTTTCTGCTAAGTATCAAGTCATTGCAGCCGTGGCCACAATACACAGTGCGCAGACAGGGTTTCCCTAGAATGCTCCCCTTCTGTCCCTGCATGCCCCGGCCCCATCCACACAGGGCTGATAGACAATGACATGCATCCCCTGGCAATGTCTTGACGTTTTCTGAACGGCATGTCTGATGGTAGTGAAGGCAGAACCTCCCGCTTAGCATTGATTTAGGGAGATTTCAGTAGGTGCCCCGGCTTGGTCTATCTCAGTATAATCTCATTGGAAGGTGACAGCAGGGGATCGCACTTTTCTCTGGGGTTTTACTTTAATGCTATCTCCACTAAAGGGGGTCTCTGCAAGGGGATCACTTAGGCCCATAGGCACCAGAAATGGCTGCTCCCCCATCTGAGGTTCCTGACACCATCACTTTATGGGCCCCTAATGTTCACCTTCCAGTGGTGGTCGTCATCTCCTCTGTAATGCATTTCTATATATAGAGGTGGTGGGACTACCTGTGGCCTTCCAGCTATGAACGGACTATAAGTCCCAGTATGTCCTCCTGACTGCTAGTTTTATGCTGACACATCACATCTGATCAGTAGAACTGTGGGAACTTGTTATGGGGTGTCTTCTTGTTTATGTTTGGACCATTGCACCTAATGGCCTTCCCTTTATGATCGCAGTTCAGATTGATCTCCTTTTATTATCTCCCACTTTCAAGCAGAATGGTCTCTGCCTAATATAACACCGTACGACCGAGGCATTCACAAAATGCACTGTGTAGAGTGGAGGCAAAAGGGGCCTATCTATAAACATTGTCTACATATCAATTCACCAAAACTGCCGCCTGTTTCTCCTCCACGTTTGATAATAAAATGGGAAGATTGGGAAAATGGTTCAGAGGGTTCGAGCAAATTTCCCGGCAGTAATGGATAACACTAGAGGGCGATAGGCGGCCATGCTCAGAGCCAGGGTTCCATGAAACTAGGCTTCCTCGGAAGGTTGCGGCGGGTTCCTCTAGCTGTGGCTGATTGACCCCCCCCATCTGATGGTGTCTGCATAGTTCTGGCACCAACGTCATTTGGCAGAGCCACCATGAGAACATCGATTCATTTAGCTGTATATAAGGGTGGCCATGTGATCACCACTGTAAGGGGAGCACTGAATAGGTTTTAGCAAGGGTTCCTCAAGACCTGAAAATGTATCTTAAGTCTTCTTCTGGGGTAAAACGGTGGAATAAGGCTGATGAAGGGTGACAAACAAAAAATAATGACAGAACGTATTGTAAGAGGTGCAAACTGGATTCTCTCCTTAGTAGAGAATATGGTGGATGTGGATTGAAGAACAGCCTGGGGTCACTGAACAGACTGTCCATATTTCCCATGTAAGGTATGACGGGTGTGCGCCCAAGAACAGGCCGGGGTCACCATACAGATAGAGCAGACTGTCCATATTTCCCATGCTAGGTATGATGGGTGTGAGCCCAGGAACAGGCCGGGGTCACCGTACAGATAGAGCAGACTGTCCATATTTCCCATAGTAGAGAATATGATGGGTGTGAGCCCAGGAACAGGCCGGGGTCACCGTACAGATAGAGCAGACTGTCCATATTTCCCATGCTAGGTATGATGGGTGTGAGCCCAGGAACAGGCCGGGGTCACCGTACAGATAGAGCAGACTATCCATATTTCCCATGTAAGGTATGACGGGTGTGCGCCCAAGAACAGCCCGAGGTCACGGTGCAGACAAACCAGGTTGCCCACATTTCCTGTAAAAACCATTTCAGAGTAACAGTGCGGACCTTTCTGAACAGGCCCCGCCCCCGAGGAATAAATCAGAATTGTTGTGTTGGGACAGTGGTGGAATGTGTA